AATATCTTAATCAAAAGGAACAAAATTACAATTTACAATCACTCACAAGCAAAATAAATCGAAATCATGAAACAATTTTTAGTTCTCTTGCTCATTTTATTGGTTACGCTTTCATCGGTCCATTCTATTCCCAATCATCTTCAAATAAGAAACACACCAAAGTTTGCGGAATGTAGAGGAAAATTTCCGGAAAAAATCAACGTAAAACTTTCACCATTACCTCTCGCTTTTGGAAAAACTCAGACCGTTACAGTCTCTGGAAAATTAAAGGAATTTATCTCTGATGGTACCACGTTACGCCTTGGAATTAGTAATGGTGATGGGGACGCGATCTTTAGCGAAAGTTCGGATTTTTGTGCTGTACCTGGAAGTCCGTGTCCCGCTGGTCCTGGTACTAAATTTAATACGCCGGTGAAATTTAATTTACGAAACAACGACACGCCTGGACCATTTAAGGTTTTGGTTCGTCTTGAAATTGGTGACGAAATTTTGGCCTGTTCCCGTGGTACCGTTGATGAATAAATTATCTGGATGGTTCTATCACGTCATATTCTCGACAAATTTGATTATTCTCAGTTTCTTTTCATAATTCATTTTGTAACATTAATTTTAGAATAATTATTTTATTTATTTTTTTTAGAAAAATTTATCATTTCATAATTTAATAAAATTTGGTAACACGGATTATTAAAAAAACTGTAATGATGAAAACTATATTCTCAAAAGCAAAATAAAGGTTTATTTTTTATAAAAAAAAAAAAAAAAAAAAAAGAAATTTAAAAGTACAAATAAATTATTGTGTGATCCAATAATGGAAAAAAATCTGAAAAAATTAATTGAAATCAATTAACTTTTTGTGAGATTAGTCCGAATTTAGATCGAAATGAATTGATCTTTGGCTAATCAATAATTAATTGTTATGTAACTTACTACACACTTTGACATTTTGTAGGCGTCTTTCAATATTAATTTCTTGAGGGATCAATCTTTTTTTAGATTTTAGAAATTTATATTATGCGACATTCAAATTAAAATAAAAGGACACCACAATTTAAATTAATCTCATGATTTGATTTTTGAGTGGGGAGTTTAATATCATTCAAATAAGTACTTTACACTGGAGATTAAAAGTTCCAATTACAACCCAACAAACTAAACCAGTAACACAATATACAATCGCATTTTAAAATTTTCGTTTTGCTTGTCTTTTTTACTAAAATTATTTGTTACTTCTCTATTATCAACTTCATATAACCAGGTTATATTTACCTGCACACACGGCGTTTAACTGAACCGGCAGATATGTTTGAAGATCCTACCTCCATTCCGACCGAACTTAAAAGAAAGGATTAATATTTTTATATTAAATTAATTTACTAATTGTTTCTTCCTTTTTCCATTACTTTTAAATTTACCTTCTTATTCCAAAATATAAAAATCAAATTCTGCTCAATAGATAATACTAGAAAAAAGACCATTTAGCAGCGACATCTAGTTTGTTTTATAAAAAAAGCTGAATTCCCCTTTTACCATTAGTTTTAAATTTGAAAATGTAAACCATTTAACGTAAATGTGAATGGGTAGAGTACTCTTTAAGATATTCATATACATTAATGGATTAGAATCGTTTATAATACTATCATAAAATCAGTAATCTTTATCACTATTATATATCGTCTTTATTAATAAACTCATATATATCATTGTTCTAAACCGCTTGTAACTGATGTATCAATAGTATTAAGCGTTGTCCTTTCGGATTTCTATATTTAGATTACACTTTCATTCTAAAAATAATATTTGTTATTAAACGATATCTATATCCATTTTTATTGAGTATGAAAACCACCTGTTTCAGTTTTTAGAACTTCTCTACAATTTTTACAAGAAATTGTTTGGTCCCATGGTAAATATAGAATTGGAACAAATAGGGAGGACGTCAGTAAAAAAGGGGGAGATCTGATTAATTTTAGTTCCTAAGCTTATTTTATGCACATCTTGATTTACTATTTTTAGAATCTAAAATATCGAATTATTGATTTCGCCTAAACATACGGAAGGTTTGCTATTAAAATCTACGTTACAGTAACTTTGTTCGTAACTTTGATTTTAATAACTGATTTCTACTGCGTGCAAAAAAAAATGTCACGAAATTTCACATAATATAATTAATTAATCACCGTTGTCACTTCCCTTCGCGTTTCATTTTTACTAAGTATTATGGGACTTAGAATTTTTCAGTAATTAAAAATCTATTCATCACAATTAATTCCAGACAAATGCCGTGATGCCGGTCATTTCGTGACATTTTTTGATGGGTACGCAGGGATCGACAATGCATAATAAAGAAATAGTTCACGTGGTTGATAATTCTGGCAATAACCATACATTATAATTTATGTGAATTGTGTACTTTTTTAAAATAAAATCAGCATATATTAACAAAATTTTTAAAAAATACTAATGTTTTGGTCGAAACCATGTTTTTAAAATCCGAAACTTTCGTAGGGAACTTAATTTGGAGATCAAATTGATCGAAACTTGTTAAGTTTTAAAATTTTAGCAAAGATATCAATCAAGATTTAAATTTTCAGAAGTTAAATTCTGACACCTTCCAGATGTGCATATCACCCATCTAAAAGTGTGTTTTCTTCGGTGGCGTTAATTATGTCATGTACTCCCCTACCTGCATAAACAATTTGTTCTTTAAACAAAGAAAATAATTCTAAAAAACTGAAAGAATTTCTTAAAAATCCCAAATTGCCTATTTAAGTATAATTCTAAAATTTTAATTTGGAATTTCACAGATATTCAATGCAACACTTAAGAATTCCAATTTTGACCAGAATCGGAAATGGTTTTCTAAGATAAAAAATTATAAAATGTTATAAATTATTCAAATTCCATATTTCAAATTCTATTAATCTAACAAAATGGAAATAACAATTACAAATAATGAAAGTTCTTTTGACATAACTTCAAAATTAAAATCCAGTCCTATACCTATTACGTTTATTTCTTCCAAAAGTGATAAATGTATGTAAACTCTTATACATGTATATTTAGTCAACATTATTGTAAAAGATGCTTTTCCAAGCATATTGGTAGTTTTGATAAAAATAATACGCATTTGGATGTGCTTATAGTTACAAATAATACACTATGTAATAAACATGAAAGCTAGGAGTGTAAATTTTTGCACAAAAAACATTCATGAATGGTGTGAATTTTGCTCCGAAATTTTTTATTTCAAAGAAACCAAATTTTGTAGTTAGAATCAATTTTGACCAAAATGAATATTCCAATTATATATTTACCATGTTGGGATCAAACTGATAATTGTATTAATTGTGAAAATTGTCTAAAACCGAAACGGATTGTCTCAAATGGTTTTCTATTTGCTCAATAACTTAAAATGGATGTAGATATTGTTTGACAACAAATATTATTTTGGGAATTACAGATCAATCTAAATGTAGAAAATGTGAAAGAAAAACGACTTTAACTTTTGATACATCACTTACATCACAAAGCAGTGGAAACAGTAATATAGATGAGTTTATTCATAATGCAAAATTTAATATTCAGCATATAAAAAGTTTTGTGAATAATTCATATCCATTAAATATATGGAGTAATTCCTTACATTGCACCGGAAATATTTATTGGCGCTCCATTTTCATAAAAAATCTGATATTTACAGTGTGAGGTATGATTATGTGGGAACTTACTACAGGTTGTAAACCATTTTATAATATCGAACATGATCATAGACTTATTTATGAAATTATTGACGGAAAACGTCCTGAAATCACAATTGATACTCCTGAATGTTATGCTGATTTAATGAAAAGTTGTTGGGACTCTAATCCTTCAAATAGACCTTCTATAAAAAAAATACGTAAAACTGTAGGTGGTTGGAGTAATAGAAAAATCAATGAGAAAATATTTGTTCAGGCCGAAGAAAAACGAGAGGAATTAATGAGATTGAAGAAACTTGGTCCTGAATTTACTGAAAAACATCCAAAAGCAATCTATACAAGTAGGGCAAAATAAAAAAAATAATAATAAAAAGAATAAAAAAAAGCAAAAAATTGAAATTAAAATAATAGAAAAAATAACGAGGGAGGGGGAGGGGAGATGAATAAAAAAAATCGAAATTAAAAATAATAATAAAAAAAAAGAACGGGGCGAATAAAAAAAAAAATAATAAAATAAATAATAAAAATAAAAAGATATTATTTTTAATTATTATTATAATGATAATGATTTATATATAAAGTAAGGTTTATATCAATACTTTGAATAAGTTATTGATATTTTAATATTTTTCAAAACTCTAATTTTCAATATTCATCCTTTTCCTCCTTTAAATTACAGCCAAGGGATAATATTTTCTAATAAAATTCTTTTATCGGAGGGAGATAAAATTAAAAAATTAAAAAAAAAAAAGTATTCGATTAATCGAATCTTGAAGAAACGATAATCGCGATTAAAATAACCATACCTAGCGGCGACGAAGTCGCCGCGCATCAATCTAGTCTAGTTATAGTAAAAAAAAGTGTCTAAAAAATAAAACAAGAAAAGTTAGAATTAATTAATTAATTATAGTAAAAAAAAAAAAAAAAAAAAGGAAAAACAGGTCTAAGAATAATAAAATAAAAAAAAAAATGCAATTAAAAACAAAATATAATAATTAAGAAAAAGAGATTAAATTAATCAAAAAAAAAAAAGTCTTACTCAAAAAAATAATTAAATTAATCGAAAGTAAAAAAAATTAACAGTATATTCTAAAAAAAAACTCTAGTAATAAAAATAAAAATAAATAAAAAAAAAAAAGTAAAACTAACCCGATTTAAATGTTGTCTGAAGATCATTGTAATGGCGTATGAAATCCTCCTTTTTTAAAAAAAGTGTGATCGGCGGCAATTTCAGAAAATAAAAGCAATTCCCTTTTTTTTCGTCAAAAAAAAAAAAAAAAAAAAAAAAATTTGAAAGAAATGGAAGGAAGCTCAAGCCAGGTAAATTAATCTTTAAGAATTCAAATATTTAAACTTGTTTACATATTTATATTATTAAATAATAATAAATAGAGTGGAAGTTCTAGAAGACCTACGCCAAAAAACTTAAACAATTCGGAATCCAATTATATCCTTCTTAGTTTAGAAGAGGAAGGTTATACCACGCCAGATGAAAAAGTAGAACAACTTATAACTAAATTAACAAAATCAAAATTTTTATATGCTCTAAAATTACTTTTTGAAAACCTACAAAATGAATTTTCATCTCAAATTTTAGTTGATTCATTAAGAAGTTTAGCCAATCCTACACTATTTGACCATCATTCAATGGAAATTGTTACAAGATTGGAATTACACTTACGAACTTTGGTAGCAGCTTTGGAACAGATATGCTTTTCGCAGATAGTTCTTGGCAAAGAAATTCGGGATAAAATTTACGATTCTTTAGCAAAATTTGCGGAATTTCATCGTAAAAACATACAAGTTATTGAAGAAGGACTTGTTAGCGGCCTTAAGTTAAAGTACAATCCATCAAATCATGACAAAGATAACAAGGGTATTGAAAAGCATAACTATAATATTGACTTTTTGTTGATTCACTTGCGCGATACATTACACAGCCTGCGTGATGATGAACCTTGGTTTCAAGAAATTTTAAGAAGAACTAAGGATTTGTTGAAGGCTGTTCTAAATATTGTACCAGGAATTACAAGTATTGTAGCACCCGGAGTTGCTCTTCCAAATGATAATTGTTCAATCGTATCAATGCTTACTCAATTACGTCAAGGTTTAAGTTTTAAATATCCGGTCGCTACTTATTATTTAGATTGGAGAATCATGTTGATAATTCGACATAATCTTTTAAACTGGTCTGTAAGTGATGAAAAGATAATTGGTAGAAAGTTTGGAGAAAGGATCTTAATGGAATATCTTTGGAGTTTTTCGGAGAGAGAGTGGAATAGTGTTACTGATAAACCTATGTTAAATTCACAAACTAAATTTGATGAAGTATCAAATAAACTCTTCAAGACTTTAAGAAACACTGGTGGTTTTTTAAATGATCTTGCCGGAAACGAACCACTCGCGTTACCAAATATGTTATGGTTTGGCATACTGGATCTTGCACAAAATCTCATTCAAAAATCTACTCAACCGGTTATACAAGGACTTTGTTATTATTTGGCAATCGAATCACTAAACAAAGCTCTAAGCAGTTTCATTCAATTTAAAGCAATTGAGATATTATTACACTTGCAAAATATAAACGAGGAATCGTTTTCAATAATGGAAATTGATTTCAATCAATACACGCAAAAAATATTGAAAATAATGATGTCAAATACGTATCACAAAAAACTATTTACAAACATCTATATCCGTGCTTAGATGATAATGAACGTAATCTAAACTTGGAACAAACAAATAAACAACATGAGGACGATTCTGAGGACGATTCTGATAATTCAGAAGTTGATCATATATTAATAAAAAAGAAGAATCGTATAGTGATTAATTTGAAATTAAATATATTACAACAAAAAAAACAACACACGGTTTATCAGAATGTTATAAATGAATTATTAAATAAAAATTATGAAAATGCTATATCAATAGGTCAAGTATATTTAAGAGAGTTTCATCATAATTATACAATGAGATGTATTTTAGCTTATGCTTATAGATGTCTTAATAACTATAAGCAAGCAAACTCATATTTAGATGAGGCTATTAGTCTAAAACAAAGCAAACCAATTGCGTATTTTATTCGTGGAGAAATACTTTTCAGACAAGGTTTATATGATGTTGCAATAAAGGTATTAGAAAAATCAAAAAACCACAATAATAAGTCGAATATAATTTTAGGAAATTGCTATCTTTTGGGTGCAAAAGGTAGTTATTTTTATCGTCTGAATGCTGCTTTAAAATGCTATGAGGTTGCATTACAAAATGATTCGAGAAATTATTTATGTTTGAAGTATTGTGCATTTATTTATGAAATTCAA